ATAGCGGTCACAGTATATAGCGATAGCGGTCACAGTATATAGCGATAGCGGTCACAGTATATAGCGATAGCGGTCACAGCATATAGCGATAGCGGTCACAGCATATAGCGATAGCGGTCACAGTATATAGCGATAGCGGTCACAGCATATAGCGATAGCGGTCACAGCATATAGCGATAGCGGTCACAGTATATAGCGATAGCGGTCACAGTATATAGCGATAGCGGTCACAGTATATAGCGATAGCGGTCACAGTATATAGCGATAGCGGTCACAGTATATAGCGATAGCGGTCACAGCATATAGCGATAGCGGTCACAGTATATAGCGATAGCGGTCACAGTATATAGCGATAGCGGTCACAGCATAGAATAGTCTCGACGTTCTGTCCCCTCCAAACCAGGCTGCAAAACTCCATCAACTCACAACCTTTTTGGGGATTGGCGCGCTCCATCGCAGGAGGCCCTCCGATCTGAAGGCCGCACCGGGGCCTAGGGCGCCAAACCTCCTCCCAATAAAATACTCAAAAGCTTCTTGTTTCACGTCTCTCCAAATTGAATTTACAGATGTCTAAATTATGCATTAGCAGCGGAGAATATGAGCAGAATAAACATCAGAAAAAATATCAACAGGTAAAGTGACTTGTACATTAGTGAGTACCCAGTCCTGTACATTAGTAAGTACCCGAGTACCCAGTCCTGTACATTAGTGAGTACCCAGTCCTGTACATTAGTAAGTACCCAGCCCTGTACATTAGTGAGTACCCAGCCCTGTACATTAGTGAGTACCCAGCCCTGTACATTAGTGAGTACCCAGTCCTGTACATTAGTGAGTACCCGAGTACCCAGTCCTGTACATTAGTGAGTACCCAGCCCTGTACATTAGTGAGTACCCAGCCCTGTACATTAGTAAGTACCCAGCCCTGTACATTAGTGAGTACCCAGTCCTGTACATTAGTGAGTACCCAGTCCTGTACATTAGTGAGTACCCAGTCCTGTACATTAGTAAGTACCCAGCCCTGTACATTAGTAAGTACCCAGCCCTGTACATTAGTGAGTACCCAGCCCTGTACATTAGTGAGTACCCAGTCCTGTACATTAGTAAGTACCCAGCCCTGTACATTAGTAAGTACCCAGCCCTGTACATTAGTGAGTACCCAGTCCTGTACATTAGTGAGTACCCAGTCCTGTACATTAGTGAGTACCCAGTCCTGTACATTAGTGAGTACCCAGCCCTGTACATTAGTAAGTACCCAGCCCTGTACATTAGTAAGTACCCAGCCCTGTACATTAGTGAGTACCCAGCCCTGTACATTAGTGAGTACCCAGTCCTGTACATTAGTGAGTACCCAGCCCTGTACATTAGTGAGTACCCAGCCCTGTACATTAGTGAGTACCCAGCCCTGTACATTAGTAAGTACCCAGCCCTGTACATTAGTGAGTACCCAGTCCTGTACATTAGTGAGTACCCGAGTACCCAGTCCTGTACATTAGTAAGTACCCAGTCCTGTACATTAGTGAGTACCCAGTCCTGTACATTAGTGAGTACCCGAGTACCCAGTCCTGTACATTAGTAAGTACCCAGCCCTGTACATTAGTGAGTACCCAGTCCTGTACATTAGTGAGTACCCGAGTACCCAGTCCTGTACATTAGTGAGTACCCAGCCCTGTACATTAGTGAGTACCCAGCCCTGTACATTAGTGAGTACCCAGTCCTGTACATTAGTGAGTACCCAGTCCTGTACATTAGTGAGTACCCAGTCCTGTACATTAGTAAGTACCCAGCCCTGTACATTAGTAAGTACCCAGCCCTGTACATTAGTGAGTACCCAGCCCTGTACATTAGTGAGTACCCAGTCCTGTACATTAGTAAGTACCCAGCCCTGTACATTAGTAAGTACCCAGCCCTGTACATTAGTAAGTACCCAGCCCTGTACATTAGTGAGTACCCAGCCCTGTACATTAGTAAGTACCCAGTCCTGTACATTAGTAAGTACCCGAGTACCCAGCCCTGTACATTAGTAAGTACCCAGCCCTGTACATTAGTAAGTACCCAGCCCTGTACATTAGTGAGTACCCAGTCCTGTACATTAGTGAGTACCCAGTCCTGTACATTAGTAAGTACCCGAGTACCCAGCCCTGTACATTAGTAAGTACCCAGTCCTGTACATTAGTGAGTACCCAGTCCTGTACATTAGTGAGTACCCAGTCCTGTACATTAGTAAGTACCCAGCCCTGTACATTAGTGAGTACCCAGTCCTGTACATTAGTGAGTACCCAGCCCTGTACATTAGTAAGTACCCAGCCCTGTACATTAGTGAGTACCCAGCCCTGTACATTAGTAAGTACCCAGCCCTGTACATTAGTAAGTACCCAGCCCTGTACATTAGTGAGTACCCGAGTACCCAGCCCTGTACATTAGTAAGTACCCAGCCCTGTACATTAGTAAGTACCCAGCCCTGTACATTAGTGAGTACCCGAGTACCCAGCCCTGTACATTAGTAAGTACCCAGCCCTGTACATTAGCGAGTACCCAGTCCTGTACATTAGTAAGTACCCAGTCCTGTACATTAGTAAGTACCCAGTCCTGTACATTAGTAAGTACCCAGTCCTGTACATTAGTGAGTACCCGAGTACCCAGTCCTGTACATTAGTGAGTACCCAGCCCTGTACATTAGTGAGTACCCAGTCCTGTACATTAGTGAGTACCCAGCCTGTACATTAGTGAGTACCCAGCCCTGTACATTAGTGAGTACCCAGCCCTGTACATTAGTAAGTACCCAGCCCTGTACATTAGTAAGTACCCAGCCCTGTACATTAGTGAGTACCCAGCCCTGTACATTAGTAAGTACCCAGCCCTGTACATTAGTAAGTACCCAGCCCTGTACATTAGTGAGTACCCAGCCCTGTACATTAGTGAGTACCCAGCCCTGTACATTAGTAAGTACCCAGCCCTGTACATTAGTGAGTACCCAGTCCTGTACATTAGTAAGTACCCAGCCCTGTACATTAGTAAGTACCCAGCCCTGTACATTAGTAAGTACCCAGCCCTGTACATTAGTGAGTACCCAGTCCTGTACATTAGTAAGTACCCAGCCCTGTACATTAGTAAGTACCCAGTCCTGTACATTAGTGAGTACCCAGCCCTGTACATTAGTAAGTACCCAGCCCTGTACATTAGTGAGTACCCAGCCCTGTACATTAGTGAGTACCCAGCCCTGTACATTAGTAAGTACCCAGTCCTGTACATTAGTGAGTACCCAGCCCTGTACATTAGTAAGTACCCAGCCCTGTACATTAGTGAGTACCCAGTCCTGTACATTAGTAAGTACCCAGCCCTGTACATTAGTGAGTACCCAGCCCTGTACATTAGTAAGTACCCAGCCCTGTACATTAGTAAGTACCCAGCCCTGTACATTAGTGAGTACCCAGCCCTGTACATTAGTAAGTACCCAGTCCTGTACATTAGTAAGTACCCAGCCCTGTACATTAGTAAGTACCCAGCCCTGTACATTAGTGAGTACCCAGTCCTGTACATTAGTAAGTACCCAGCCCTGTACATTAGTAAGTACCCAGCCCTGTACATTAGTAAGTACCCAGCCCTGTACATTAGTGAGTACCCAGCCCTGTACATTAGTGAGTACCCAGTCCTGTACATTAGTAAGTACCCAGTCCTGTACATTAGTAAGTACCCAGCCCTGTACATTAGTAAGTACCCAGCCCTGTACATTAGTAAGTACCCAGCCCTGTACATTAGTGAGTACCCAGCCCTGTACATTAGTAAGTACCCAGCCCTGTACATTAGTGAGTACCCAGCCCTGTACATTAGTGAGTACCCAGTCCTGTACATTAGTAAGTACCCAGCCCTGTACATTAGTAAGTACCCAGCCCTGTACATTAGTGAGTACCCAGCCCTGTACATTAGTGAGTACCCAGTCCTGTACATTAGTAAGTACCCAGCCCTGTACATTAGTAAGTACCCAGCCCTGTACATTAGTAAGTACCCAGCCCTGTACATTAGTAAGTACCCAGCCCTGTACATTAGTGAGTACCCAGCCCTGTACATTAGTAAGTACCCAGCCCTGTACATTAGTAAGTACCCAGCCCTGTACATTAGTAAGTACCCAGCCCTGTACATTAGTGAGTACCCAGCCCTGTACATTAGTAAGTACCCAGCCCTGTACATTAGTAAGTACCCAGCCCTGTACATTAGTGAGTACCCAGCCCTGTACATTAGTGAGTACCCAGTCCTGTACATTAGTAAGTACCCAGCCCTGTACATTAGTAAGTACCCAGCCCTGTACATTAGTGAGTACCCAGCCCTGTACATTAGTAAGTACCCAGCCCTGTACATTAGTGAGTACCCAGCCCTGTACATTAGTAAGTACCCAGCCCTGTACATTAGTAAGTACCCAGTCCTGTACATTAGTGAGTACCCAGTCCTGTACATTAGTGAGTACCCAGCCCTGTACATTAGTGAGTACCCAGTCCTGTACATTAGTAAGTACCCAGCCCTGTACATTAGTAAGTACCCAGCCCTGTACATTAGTGAGTACCCAGCCCTGTACATTAGTAAGTACCCAGCCCTGTACATTAGTGAGTACCCAGCCCTGTACATTAGTGAGTACCCAGTCCTGTACATTAGTGAGTACCCAGCCCTGTACATTAGTAAGTACCCAGCCCTGTACATTAGTAAGTACCCAGCCCTGTACATTAGTAAGTACCCAGCCCTGTACATTAGTGAGTACCCAGCCCTGTACATTAGTAAGTACCCAGCCCTGTACATTAGTGAGTACCCAGCCCTGTACATTAGTGAGTACCCAGTCCTGTACATTAGTGAGTACCCAGCCCTGTACATTAGTGAGTACCCAGCCCTGTACATTAGTGAGTACCCAGCCCTGTACATTAGTAAGTACCCAGCCCTGTACATTAGTGAGTACCCAGCCCTGTACATTAGTAAGTACCCAGCCCTGTACATTAGTGAGTACCCAGCCCTGTACATTAGCGAGCCTCCCCCTGGTCTCGCTGCTCTGTCTCAGCCTCATTCTTCAGCCTGAACACCTTTAGTGTAATCTGCCGCTGCCCACACACGCCGCACATGTGTAGGGTGGAAAAGCCTCGATCTTCCATCAAACGCCCAGGTGCTGTGCAGGAGTACCCCCCATACACACACCCCCAACCCCCCCACACTGATCCAGGCCTGGCTGAGCAGATAAACTGATTTGGCAGAGGTTATTTTTAGAGCCATAGGGGCCTGGCTGGGGCTGGGACAAAGAGAACCGGACGAGAGAGCTGCCTCTGCTCACCGTGATGTGAGCTCTCCATCACGCTGGACCTCCACGCTCCCAACTCGGGCTAAATACAAGATTAGTTTGTTTTTGTTAGGATGGAATGGAACAAAGAGGGACATTGTCTTGGAGCAGAGGAGGTATATTTTTTGGAGAGTTCTACTTTGTTATGGTATGTAAATAGGAACTTCAATTCAATGTATTTTGTATTTGTATCACAACAGTAGACACACAAGAAATGCAAGGATTAAAAAACACATAGAGCCGTTGGTCCATAAGAGACAGAGACATGTTATTATGTTATTGTTTCATAAATACATTTGGTTTTACATTGTTTAACATTTTGAAAACAAATCAGATATCATTATTTTCTACATCTTGTCAGGAATGTTTTCAATTTTAATCTGTAACTTAGTGAGAGCAGAGTGAGGGCAGGACGTCAGTGTGAAAACTAGTGATTGCACCAAACAGCTTTGTGAGTAGAGGGTGATTCTCAATTTGTATTATTTACATAAAATATTAACGGTTTTTTTGGACGTTGAGGACATACAGTATGAGTGTGATCGAGGTCAATTCTCAAATAAAAGCACAAACATACTAATTTACCTTTCCCGGCCTGGATCCATGGTTGCCAGATACAGATTAATTACACATATGGTACGTCATCGCAAAATGTCGCCTTAGAACTCATCATCATCCATCAGTGGAATATAATCTTCCATTTGGATGAAGTCCGTGTTGTAAAGTTGTAAATCAGATTATTGTTGGCTTTGAATGGAAACATTGTAATAATAACATCAATCAAACTAATCATTTGTAAGTAACCTAAATAATGGATAAAGTCTTATTTTTGGATTGTACTTTTGGCATTCTTCCTTTCAATAATTAACAACATGCATTTAGTTTCATCTGGTTCACGTTGGATTGTGGCCTGTTTTGTCTGTACTCAAAGTAAAACAATTCAGAAATAAAAGGCCTTTAGTATGTTTAAAAGAGCCACTCATAGATACTAGAGGTTCTTCCAAACTGGCTCTGATCGTGACCACCCAAACAGCTTTCAACGTTTTCATCTTTTTGGGTTGGTTTTTACCAAATCTGCAATTTTTACCAAATCTACAACATCCAAAAAGGCCATGAGTCAGCATCTGTCTCCTTTAAAAAGTGGTGGCAGAAATCCACTCGGCACGGTGGCTGAGTGGTTAGCACTCTTGCTTCTCAGCAAGAAGGTCCTGGGTTTGAATCCCGGTTGGAATAGGGCCTTACTGAGTGGAGTTTGCACGTTCTCCCCGTGTCTGTGTAGGTTTCCTCCGGGTGCTCCGGTTTCCCCTACCACTAAAAACATGTACAATAGTTCTGCCATGTGCCTCCTGTACTGGCCCCTCCCATCTCTCTGTGGAGTCAGAGACTAATGCCAAAAAATAACAATTGTAAACCGCTTTGTGAATCTGGTCTGTGAAAGGCGCTATATAAATAAACATAACTTACTACTTTAAAATCCATGTTTTGTGAAGAACTTTGAGTTGCTTTGAATGTCTTTGAGTTGCTTTGAGTATGAAATGTGCTATAGATATAAACTTGCCTTGCCTATAGTACACACAAAACGCATGGATTTTTTTGACAAAATAATAGATTTTTGCCTTTTTATTCTACCGAGTGGTTCCAGTGTTAGAGGAAAAGTCCATCTGTGGGAGCTGAGTCCGGAGGCAGGTCACCGATGACAATGTGCATCGACCGCCTGCTCCTCTCTCGCTCTTATCGCCTCTAATCGTGCTCTCAGGTCTCGCTGAAGAATGGACCCAATCAGGTGAAAACTTCAAGGCCAAAATCTCCACCGAGAAAATAATCTGCGGAAAATTGTGGGCAGAGAAGTTTCATATTTTGTTTCAGAGCTGAGAGGTTTTTTCTGACAAAATCTCACACAGATTATATGCTTATTTTATACAAGAGAAGAAGAAGAAGTAAGTAACTAAGATGTTTCGTTTACCTAAGTACCATTTTTAAGTTGTTAACTACTTATTTGTCGGAAAACTCACAACTTTTACTCTTTTGATTTTAAAGAGTAAAATCTAAGTGTTTCACAGACAAAGCTCATGTCTGAAATCAAAAATATATGTATTCTACAATAATGCTTTTCAGATGTTCTGTAGTGGAAATGTTATACTTCAATGAATGGATCCAAGAGAAACAACTTCGGGCAGTTTATTAAAAAGGTGATGAATAAACAGTACAATAAAACTCAGAAAGGCTCGATACAAACCCAAAGCTTTCCTCGTAGCTCTGACTCGTTCTTATACAACTGCAGTCATGTCGTTGTGTAGAGAAAAGACAAAGAACAGGACATGTCACAGGAAAGATGGGGTTGATTCATGAAGGAAGAGAAGGTACACTGCAAAAAGTAAATTCTAAGCAAGTTAAAAAATCTGGAAATAAGAAAAAAAGCTTGATTTTTGTCTAAAAAGAAAAAAAGATCTTGTCTAGCAAAATGTCCTTGCTTTTACTTATTAAGAAAAATGTGCTTTAAAAAGTAATATTTGGACCCAAAACAAGCAACAATTACTTATTTAGGCTCCTCTTTCTTATTTCAAGAACAAATACAAAAAAATCTCAAAATAAGGAAAATAATTTATTCAATTGACTTAAATGTATTTGTGCATCGTCCAAAACCACAGCAGCAGTTTCCGAGGAGGATTTACCAAAGTTGTGGATTCACCAACAACAGATCAGAGAATCCTACAGGTCGCACACAGGACCCAGACTACTGTCCTCAGACCCTCGTGCATCAGAGGAACCACAGACACCTGAGACACTGACACAATCACTGTCCTCAGACCCTCCTGCATCAGAGGAACCACAGACACCTGAGACACTGACACAATCACTGTCCTCAGACCCTCCTGCATCAGAGGAACCACAGACACCTGTGACACTGACACAATCACTGTCCTCAGACCCTCCTGCATCAGAGGAACCACAGACACCTGTGACACTGACACAATCACTGTCCTCAGACCCTCCTGCATCAGAGGAACCACAGACACCTGTGACACTGACACAATCACTGTCCTCAGACCCTCCTGCATCAGAGGAACCACAGACACCTGAGACACTGACACAATCACTGTCCTAAGACCCTCCTGCATCAGAGGAACCACAGACACCTGTGACACTGACACAATCACTGTCCTCAGACCCTCCTGCATCAGAGGAACCACAGACACCTGTGACACTGACACAATCACTGTCCTCAGACCCTCCTGCATCAGAGGAACCACAGACACCTGTGACACTGACACAATCACTGTCCTCAGACCCTCCTGCATCAGAGGAACCACAGACACCTGTGACACTGACACAATCACTGTCCTCAGACCCTCCTGCATCAGAGGAACCACAGACACCTGAGACACTGACACAATCACTGTCCTCAGACCCTCCTGCATCAGAGGAACCACAGACACCTGTGACACTGACACAATCACTGTCCTCAGACCCTCCTGCATCAGAGGAACCACAGACACCTGAGACACTGACACAATCACTGTCCTCAGACCCTCCTGCATCAGAGGAACCACAGACACCTGAGACACTGACACAATCACTGTCCTCAGACCCTCCTGCATCAGAGGAACCACAGACACCTGTGACACTGACACAATCACGTCCTCAGACCCTCCTGCATCAGAGGAACCACAGACACCTGTGACACTGACACAATCACTGTCCTCAGACCCTCCTGCATCAGAGGAACCACAGACACCTGTGACACTGACACAATCACTGTCCTCAGACCCTCCTGCATCAGAGGAACCACAGACACCTGAGACACTGACACAATCACTGTCCTCAGACCCTCCTGCATCAGAGGAACCACAGACACCTGTGACACTGACACAATCACTGTCCTCAGACCCTCCTGCATCAGAGGAACCACAGACACCTGAGACACTGACACAATCACTGTCCTCAGACCCTCCTGCATCAGAGGAACCACAGACACCTGTGACACTGACACAATCACTGTCCTCAGACCCTCCTGCATCAGAGGAACCACAGACACCTGTGACACTGACACAATCACTGTCCTCAACCCTCCTGCATCAGAGGAACCACAGACACCTGAGACACTGACACAATCACTGTCCTCAGACCCTCCTGCATCAGAGAACCACAGACACCTGGACACTGACACAATCACTGTCCTCAGACCCTCCTGCATCAGAGGAACCACAGACACCTGAGACACTGACACAATCACTGTCCTCAGACCCTCCTGCATCAGAGGAACCACAGACACCTGAGACACTGACACAATCACTGTCCTCAGACCCTCCTGCATCAGAGGAACCACAGACAACCTGAGACACTGACACAATCACTGTCCTCAGACCCTCCTGCATCAGAGGAACCACAGACACCTGTGACACTGACACAATCACTGTCCTCAGACCCTCCTGCATCAGAGGAACCACAGACACCTGTGACACTGACACAATCACTGTCCTCAGACCCTCCTGCATCAGAGGAACCACAGACACCTGTGACACTGACACAATCACTGTCCTCAGACCCTCCTGCATCAGAGGAACCACAGACACCTGTGACACTGACACAATCACTGTCCTCAGACCCTCCTGCATCAGAGGAACCACAGACACCTGAGACACTGACACAATCACTGTCCTCAGACCCTCCTGCATCAGAGGAACCACAGACACCTGTGACACTGACACAATCACTGTCCTCAGACCCTCCTGCATCAGAGGAACCACAGACACCTGAGACACTGACACAATCACTGTCCTCAGACCCTCCTGCATCAGAGGAACCACAGACACCTGTGACACTGACACAATCACTGTCCTCAGACCCTCCTGCATCAGAGGAACCACAGACACCTGTGACACTGACACAATCACTGTCCTCAGACCCTCCTGCATCAGAGGAACCACAGACACCTGTGACACTGACACAATCACTGTCCTCAGACCCTCCTGCATCAGAGGAACCACAGACACCTGTGACACTGACACAATCACT